TCCAACAGTCACCAGATTGACAGGCTGTACGAAACTAATCGACTAACAAATAGCACAATATTAGCTGATTAGCTCAGCTAATGACAACTAGCGTACAAGAACAAGGATAACAACACGACGCCGCCGACAAAAAGAACAACCCCGCCGACAACAACAACACCGTCAACAACAGGAAGCAGGTAGTACCGGACAGGAGTTCCGGAAGAGATTATCCACAACAAGCAACTCTCTCAAGATCTCAAGATGCTGTCACACACCGCGGGGCTGCTCTCTCTCTCTCTCCGCGCTGACACTGCTTAGCACACATCAGTCTCTGGTACAGATAAGTCTTGTGGTCACGTGCAAGGGTCACGTGGGCAGTACTGCCAGGCGATAGAGTCACCTAGCACTGCCTTCCTCTCCCTCCCTCCCAACCGAATTAATTTCATATTATCAGCTGGACTGTGCCGCAATAACTCTGTAAACAGAGAGACAGAGAGAGAGAGAACCAGAAAAAACAAGTGAAAACATTAAGTGATATTCGAGGTGGTAGTCATGATTTCCCGTAGCTATCCGGCATGCACGTCCGGCTCATCAAAGGTTGTTACAACTGACATGCCTGCTTTGCTTGCTACGGTAGGGGTCCCGTGACATGGTTCAACAAATTACTGCTAGAATTTGTTTATTACTTGACCTTATCAGCTATTATATTGGTTAGAATTACTTAGTTCACGTCCTTCGTCCGCCTCATTATCTTTACTCTCTCCCCTTAATGGTGTAATCTTTATCCCATTCATCATTTAATCATTACCCCCCTTTGAGTGAAATGTTATGCCTTCTAAATTCATGTTTCGAGAACTTGCTAATTAACGAGACGAGCACAAAAACAGGATCATCAACGTACGATGTGATTACGATAGGATAATTTAGATCGCAAGTTCTGTATCAGTTGATCTTAGTCTCGTTTCTCCGTCTACAGCGCGGGTTTGCGGACCACCAAGTATTCCCAATAACCCTGAATCTCCCTCCAGTTAATTGTTTTCCACCCACTGATGGTCACTTGGTATCAAGCACTAAGTTTGGTACCAGTTGACAAGGTAGGTGAAGGTGTTGGGAGGTTGGCAGAGTCACCTCTGAAGGTGTTGGGAGGTTGGCAGAGTCCCTTAACCCGGCACCTGATATCCCGCTCTCCAGGTAAGCAGTTATTATTAGAATATTAAATAACTGATAATTGTTATATACTAAAGTCACTATTGTGATTATATACGCCGTTTTATAGCGTCATGCATTTCTTCTTGGACGAATTTTGTGAGCAATGATGTTTTCTATGTAGGGTAATTAAGGATTTTTGCGTGGCCAGCGGAATTACACGGAAAAGAAAACACAATCGTATCATTATTGAGGAATGTTATGACAGTTATTTAGGAATATTGTTTCGACCACAAAGGAATATTCTTTCAATTATATACGAATATTATTAATATTATTGGGAATGTCATTGACGATATCCTACTGATATAACTTCGTTTCAGAAGATTGATAAGTCAAGTTACACGTGTGCCAATATATATAACAAGTGAGAACGTGATGATAACATATTATTGGAATGCCAGGTATGACCTACATTTTTAGGGTATTATACCCAACACCGGATATTTATAACAACCTCCCCTACACTGACACAAGGGGGTTCTTCCAGATTAGCGAAGCGTCAGCTAGTCGCGCGCTCCGCGCCTCCCACGCAGAACGTTCCTGCCGTGCGCATTGCTCCTGCCGTGCAACAAGGACCAGGTTTGCGCATTGTCCTAACCGCGCATCATGTAACAGTAACTGGATGTCAGTTCCACTTGAGAGGGTGCGGACAAGCTAAGTGCTCCTCGGTGATGGTGCGTATTGTGCCAGGAGGGGTGTAGCGCAGCGCCTGGACAAAGTGCACTCGGGCGCCATGATGGGGAGTAAACCGTGCCAAGATACCCGTCCCAGGTCGGGTTCACTTAACAGTTAACACTGTCCCTCTGTGGTGACATTACGGCAACACTTTGACGTTACAGTAACATAGGGAAGCGATACAAAGGTTTAAATAATCTGCGCTAATGCCAGGCTGGTCCGTATTCCCCTTGTTAAACTTGAACCCACTATCCGTAACAAGGTTCAAAAAGTTAGAGAAAAAGATGAAAATTATTTTATTATTTTCAGCATGGGGTCATGTACTTACGGAGAATGATGAAGCGGTAAGATCCAATAAACTTAGCAAGATTTGTTGAAAGTAGGCAGCTTCGAGAGCACAAAACGATCAATTCATGAGATTACAATCGAGCGATAAAGAAGTGACAGAACATTTATAATTGGCAAGTACAACATCATGTAGAGGGACTAGAGATCAGGCAGTGGTCCCTGGGAGGGAACCAATCACAGAGCTCTGATAACTCATCCAGCCAATCAAGGGAACCCTCACAACCACGTGAACGTCACGAGGTCTTCTAATTAGACTGAAATCTTGCTTGGTGGGGAGCTAACAATGCGACGTGCTGCCTAGTAAACTAGGACCTCATTAGACATTTAAAATTAGAGTGACCAAACCCGTGTATTCGGTGTTCGTGTAACATTGCCCCGACATGCAAATTGCTTATTAAGAGACAGTGCTGAATCAGAGTTAGACATATCTAAACCATGTTGGAGACTATTATAAAGGAGGGGCCGGCACGGTTTAATACCTCAAATTATCAAATTTTGGAATGTTAACTTTACTTTATCACAGTTTGTTGGCATTGAAATATGAGCTAGCCTCTAATCAGGAGTCTTCGGATCAGAAATTAAACCGATTAGAGACAGTTTGAATAGATACCCGCTGTGAATCATAACAGCCCATGTAGGAATCAGGAAAGAGATAAGTTCTAGACTTCTGATTTGGTATGGTTTCCCGGAGATAAGAAGAATAAGAGTTCTCATTGAGGGAATTAGTGAAGCTCAAATAAATCCACAGCCGATATCACCCATATATATCACCTAGTATACGTCATTGTGTAATTACTATAATAGGTGCACATCATCTTCACATTCGGCTCATACTATGGGTTCTTGATCTCACAGACCTGTCTCGGTCTATTATAAATGTAAAATCTCCCATCATATCTCGTAAAAACATCATCAAAGAGCATACTCCAGTGATCCGGCAATTTCTTGAGTGGCGTCAGAAATAATGGCAGAAATACCGAATTGTATTCTTGCTATGTCTTGAGACAGGCACACTCCTGTCTCCGTAACAATGGAGGCAGCTAGTGCAGATAAAATATGTTTGTCAGGGGTCGATCAATCATCACCAACGAAGACAATAATTACAACACGATCAACTTGTAAACATAATTACAGACATTATTCGGGGAACCACGCCTAAAATACGATCTGAAAGGATGAAAACCTGGCGTAACAAGTGCACTAAAAACGATGGAATGTGTTCAAAACAGCTGTGAAGTGGAAGGCATGCTCAGTTCATACTTACAGTTACTGGTAGCGGAGGATGGTTCCACTTTGAAGAACATATTGACAACGATAACTCGGTCGATATGGCCCGACTAAACGAGCTCCTGTCAACAACCAATGACAAGACGACGACGCGCCCATGTGATAACCGCCAGCCAATCACGTGGCCAGGAGGACGGCAGACGACCAATCAGCGTGCAACAATGAGATCACATGGCACAGGTTATTAGCGCGAGTTCCCACTGTGCCAAGCGATATTTACTTTATGTAAACGCGATAATTTAATACCGGGACTTTAACCCTGGGTTGTCTATACACAAACAATGCTAGCTTGGGGAATCTCCCCCAATCAGGAATCAGGAAAACTCCCCGAACCAATCACAACAGATCCCTCCATCACGTGACCCAATAAAAAGTGAACGAACAGAGCTCCAAAACCCCATTAAAACATGAAACTAGTTCCCGGTCATTCACAACCCCTCGCTGATTGATTCCTACCAGACGTCCTCAGCACCATCAGTTCTTGTAATTTGGTGCTGAATTCCTAAATTCAAGGAAGAAGGTGGATTCCGGGTGTTGTCAAAGACTGGTCCCCTTTATCAAACGTTTTCAGGTCATTACCCGAGCAAACTGGTGTCTAGATCTGGCTCTCTTTGATGAGACTAGCTGACTGTTGAACCCGCCCCTGCGCGCCAAGCAGGCAACACACACTGCCTCTCTTCTAATCGGCCACTATTAGAGGAGTTTGTGTGAAGGTGTTAGCAGGAGTCGTTATCTACCCCAATTACTTTATTACAATTCAATTTCAGTTACATCTCATCCTGATGCTTTCCCCAATAAGACGTCATATCCTAGCCCGGACGAAAACGTGATCTCATTGAGATCCTAGACCGGGGTATTATCTCATAAGATTGCGTACCAAGATGCGCTTACGCCGTGCAGCTCGCGATCAATATAATGCCGACGGACATGACAAATTGTGTGGAAGGTGAGGAAGGGGAGGGGGAGATATCGTAGACACCTACTTCCTGCTCCGACATCTTGGCATTCTAGTTGCGCAACAGATGGTAATGAACAGGTATATCCCTGTCATTAGTTTACTCCAGCGCGCGTCAATTGATTAGATGATAAAAAACAGTCTGTTGATGCTGCAAATTGGATGGGTTACCTCTATCTCTAGACAAGACGAAATCATTGAACATTTGTCAAATTCCATGTCTAATTATAAAGATGAAGGGGACGAATATTTGCTCGTCGGAATACAGAACATTAACTAAGGAAGACAAAACACAAAATAAGAACAAACGATATATATTTAGAACTACACTGAAAATTTGACTGTCAAATTTAGGACATAGAAGTGGTGTCAATTGGAACGGTTGGTGTGATGCAGTGTTATGCAGTTCCATGCAGTGCCGTGTTTTTGGGTGCCGTGTCATGCAGTACAACATGATGCCGTGCTGTGTGGTGCCGTGTGGTGGATTGCCGTATAACGGCACTGAAACAACAATAAAGTGGTAAATATGACTGTATAAACTCACCAGAACTGCTTCCCGTATTCTCCATAGGGGTGAGACTGGAGCTACAACTAATGTAGGGGTGGTGGTCTATTCGCTCAATGGTCAGGCCGTTTGTAGATCACAATCTGAACGATACGCCAATCAGCAACAGTTAACGGTTATCTGTGATCTGTCCTGCCTGGTTAATCAATATTATTACAAACTCATCGTTCAGATTCGTGTCACCAGCCGATTTAGAAAGTATGCGGCATATGCACTTGAAACTCCAATAAATATTATAATCCTTTTAAATACAATTCTTCCATTCATTGATATGTCATTTAACCTCTGGGAGTCCCAACAAAGGTCGCACGTGCGGCTTATCAATTGTGATAATTAGATTCATCTGCCCAACAATAGGCTGAACACAAATTGAAATATTATACTGTGATTAAATTTAGAGTGAGATCGTCTAAAAAAAGTACAGGAAGTTTCGTGTTTGTCAAATATATAATAGGTACTTACGTTTTAAAATACGATTTCCTGTCTTCAAGTTGTAGAGTCTTAGTATTACCGATGTCTGTCCAGTAATGTCCAATAATTCTTCATATTCTGGACCTAATACAAGACAAAAACCGTTACGTAACGTGTACTAATTCATACCCCAAATAAGACATTTCTTATCCGACAGGAATTTAATATACCTCTCAGAAGTCTGAGCCTTGTACACTTCACCTGTTCAATTAATTAAAGTATTAAATTATATACAAATTATTAGATAAAATACAACCCTTCTAGTGTTTCAGCTTCCCCCTCCCAAGATAAGTTTCCTTTCCAAGCCAATAGGAATTTTAAAAAGCTGCCAGAGTACAAAAATGTCTAGATATGCCTAATATCAATCAAGCTATCAGCAAGTTGCCACTATAGGCCAGGTATAATACAGTTAACTTTGTAGTAGTTTTAGGTAAACTATCCACTAATAAGAGAAGATAAGTTAAAAGATACACATCATGATATATCAGAGATGGGTTAGGATATGTTAATAATGTTTACAACAATTATAATCCGGGTTTTAAAATTCTTTCCCAGCTTAGAGGAGGCTTTCTGCTGAGATTTCGACACGCAAATGAGAAATATATGTTGCACATTCGAATAGAAAATTAGGAATGTAAACCCGTATTCTTATCATTGTCTGATATTGTTAATATCCTAAGTAATATTTAAATTGATAATGAGTCATTTAAAGTAGGTATGTAAAGCCCGGTTAAGATTTCTGAGTTGGTTTGTCTGGATTCAATTCAACATACGTAGCATATTTTGCTGATATTACTACGGCATCAATATATTTGGCAGCCCCGCGGCAAATCAAGCTGGCAACCAAAATGGGCATCGTTGCATGTTAATATTTCTACTACTCAATCAGCTATTAACGAATGAAATTAAATGAACCAAAAGAAACCCTCAATTTTAAAATTCATTTCACACCGATTACTGAAAGTTAAATGAATGATAAAGTAAAAAGGGTACTTTAAAAAGACACCAGTTTTGGAGCCGACCTGGCTGAAATCTAACATAATTCGCTAGCAGCAGCAGACACGAGCTCAGAACACAATAGATTAATGGAACACACATTATAAAATTAATCGGATAAAACTATGCATGCGAGCAGCTAAACAACGTATTAAAACACTTAACAAAGAAAACCGCATTCCTAAATTTAAATTATTAAAAGTGAAAGTAAGCAAGTAATTATCAATATACAGTTTTCAACGTCTAGGGAGAAGCGTGGGCTGGGAGGATCAAAGGAAATCACTTTTTTGTGCAAGGTTTAAAAACCGATACTTATAATTAAAACTACCAGAAAGTTGGAAAAGGTGGTAGATTTGAGGGAGGTCTAGATCAGAGATCAGCTTTCGGATTGTCAAGTACAATATCCTACTGAACATGAAGTACAGCTCTGTTTTTCTGAGACACTAGCAGTTTGAACGGGGAAGCCAAGTCCGAACCAGGTAAAACTTTTAGGTCATTCTATTTGTTATTTCTTGTGACATCACAGGAAATAAAATCAAAATAATGGAGGAAAGTAACCCGTCACCAGACAGCTGGAACATTCACACATGTTGAAAACGATTATATGCTGAAAAAAAAACTGTAAACGTCGGACGATTGTGACATAGCGTCGCAACTCTCGCGACAGTCGCGAGTGTGTCGCATGAAAGAATCAATCCAGCGTTTGGAAACTAAGCACGAGACTAGTGCCAAACGTGGGCAGAACTACAAGTAGAGAGAGAGAGAGAAAGGCGAGGGATCCAAGTCACGTCTGTAAGGTATCCCACTACTGGTGGGCAGTGACATGTAAAGAAGTAACAGGGTTCTAAGTAGCAGGCTAGTGTTGCTCAACTGATTAACAGTTTTAGTATTTCAACACTGTTAATAATTTAACGATCATCTTGAATGGGTTCGGGTAGAAATATTCAACCGTATAAAAGTTTTAACGCAAAAATCTGCTGAGTATATTCAACCGTAAAGAAGTTTTAACGCAAAAATCTGTTAAGTTTTCATCAAGAACGAAAGGCATTAATTGTTTAATATATATACTGGAACAGAGATAAAAATACAGGACCAGGAACATAGGCGAGAAACAGGAGGGTCTCTCGGACACGGGTGGTACACAGGTTTCAACAGCCAGCAACAGTTACACGGTATACAAATGAATTGTAAGTACATATAATCGATGATACGCAACATTATACTCCCCCCAGACTGAGATTTGACACGTGACCAACTCAACGTTAACACTACCGAAACCGACCTGACCAAGGCATTCGGCGGGGGTGAAAATTATACTCGGCATCCACTGGGCTTCTGCTTAGACTATTAAATGAAGAGGTTACCGTATTGTAGCCGTGAACAGAACTGAGCGCGCTTGCCCGTGGAAGGTTGAACGGACCTTCCCCATTCTAACTGACGGAGTTTGAAAATATTATCTCGAATTCGTAAGTGTAAGATATGTGCTCAGCGGGGACCAATCAGGTGTCAGAATCTGTATCACGTGTCACTTTATTACCAATGGCACGTTGTAGGGCTGCCGTAAATAGTGGGAATTTAATTGATAAAGGTTTCAATTACACAAAAGTCTAATTTGATTAAGGGTAATCTATTAAAGACGTCTAAAAAGCAAGGGAATCACACTGGAGTAATAATAGAAGTGCGTCACGGGTCGCTGGACTAAACGTGGTTTCAGGAAACATCTGTCTAGGCCATAAGTTAGAGACTTATTAAGGACGCTTTGATGGGATCAGAAGAAGGGATCCATCATGATCGTGGGAGAACATTACACCTGTCAGGTTCATGGCGCGCTCACAAAATTAAAAGGTGGTGCTCAATAGGGGGCGTTTCCTTTTACCGCTCTTTGAAAAGCTGTGCAATAGGTTGGGTTGGTTCGGATACCATTGTACAAGGTGTGCTGTAAGTGGAAATAATGCACAGACTGAAGCAAATGATGTAGACGGATTTAATACGGACACCAAAGCTATCACAGCTTTGGAGATCACTCGATTTTGCGGTCATCTGCGAGAGAGAGAGAGAGAGAGAGAGAGAGAGAGAGAGAGAGAGAGAGAGAGAGAGAGAGAGAGAGAGAGAGAGAGAGAGAGAGGGGGATATCGAGTTCATGTTGTAGTTAGGTCGTATCAAGTTGATTTAGAAGGCAGCTAAATGGGCGGCGATTTTGGTCTGGTGGTCTCTATTTATAGTTATATGGGTCTAGACATCATACCACTAGTTCTGACAATCTCCCATGTTTTGGTCTAAAAAAGTTTCCTTATTCGATAATTTCATCTCTGTTTCCCACTATAGTCTTGACGGCATGTTCTTTTCAAGGGTAAATAGAATGGAACTCAAGAGTTTTGCGACATTAAATTCCACGATATAATTCAATGTCAGACAGCTTCTAAAAGGATTAACTTGTAATATTGATAGCTCATATCCAGTAAATTTCCTCATAGATGATGAGAAATCAGAACGTGGTGTCCTAAAAGATTTGTCGTTAATTCTCATAAATATCGGAAGTGTTTAGGATCGTTAACAAAAGAGAAGTGGTAAGGCCGTATAATGCTTGAACGGAGACGAAATACTTTCAGAGAATGACCAAAAAGCTTATTATTAGAGCTTTTCATATCAATACGAATTATATTATTTTATGCGACGGAACATGTCTAACCGGATATTCGCCAGCTTTAATCTTGGCAATTTGACATTTTAAGGTTGCGTCTTATTTTTCAGAAAGTGTAAGTGTAAGTGTAAGTGTAAGTGTAAGTGTAAGTGTAAGTGTAAGTGTAAATGTAAATGTAAGTGTAAGTGTAAGTGTAAGTGTAAGTGTAAGTGTAAGTGTAAGTGTAAGTGTAAGTGTAAGTGTAAGTGTAAGTGTAAGTGTAAGTCAAAGTGTAAGTCAAAGTGTAAGTGTAAGTGTAAGTGTAATGTAATTGTAATGTAAGTGTAAAATAAATGTAACATAAGTGTAACGTAAGTGTAATGTAAGTGTAATGTAAGTGTAATGTAAGTGTAATGTAAGTGTAATGTAAGTGTAATGTAAGTGTAATGTAAGTGTAAGTAAAATAGTAAGTACAATAGTAAGGTATGTGAAAGTACAAGTCTGTGAATGTAATTATCAATGTACCTGTGTAAAAGTGTAAGTAGTAAGTACAATAATTGTATATGTTGAGGTCGCCAGTAAGTCTGAAGCAGTCTCTCTACTATGCTTGATGAGCCCCCGCGCCTGCACACCAACTCTCTCATTACTTTTCAATTAAAAACACAGTGTTCCGGTCTACAACCAGATTAACACGTTTTAACACTAGAATTTCACATGCACAACACGTTTCAAGTGGAGCTGTCGAGGATAAATTAATTATCGGCTAAACTTATTCAATAAAGCGTGATGATCTTCTTCAAAACTCATTTGGAGAGGTGACAGCAAGCGAGTATCACAACTACAGTAAATACTAAAATGATATTGTTAATATCAACTATGTCAACTACAATTTACAACTACACCTACGAGAAGTACCCTGGTATCAGTCATGCAATGAACCTAATGCGATTAACTTTAAACAATAGGAGATTGTAATACAATAAACCACACGGTGGTAGTCCAGCAAATTACAACTACAACTGCAGGCAAATTACGAAATACATATTACGAGGTACAGCAAATTACAACTGCTGGTAAATTACGAAACACAAATTACAAGGAACAGCAAATTAGAACTACAATACCACAACCGTACTGTAAAGAAAGAACACAGCAATTGACACCAGATATTAGAACACTAATACAACCAGCAAGTCCACACAACAACCCACACACACTTACTGACACACACACACACACACACGCAACAGTATACAAAACTAGACTTGAACATTGCGAACTAGACAGTCTATGTCAAGGCAACACCCCATTGCTACAGCTTCTCCCCTCTACATTCCCTCTCTCCCTACTCACTCCCCACAAACGTATAAACACGACAGCTTTTAGCTTCTGCACCCAATTACTGGGTATTAACGTTAATTCTGTAAGATTCTCAGCTGTGTGTCACGTGTTAATAGTGTCACGTGTGGGAGTATAGCTGTTAATAGTGGCGTGTGTGAGAAGAGTGTGTGTGTGGAGGGTGGCACTCCGCAATAAGGTTTGAAGGGTGTCGGTCTGCCCCTAACTCAACTTACTGTTACAGCTCGTCATCATAGGATTGGGAACCTGCGGTTACGGCTAGAAACTATTTTTGGGTTCCAACCACAGCTAGGTTGCAATGATTTAGGATGAGCCTCCCAGATTCTCAGGTAACGGCGTTACAAGTTTCGTACAATAACCACTAGGACCTATATTGCACTGAGGCCAGGGCGCAGCGCACGCCCTGCCTAAATTAACACGAGAGTGACTGGAGCTGATATCGCAATAACTATAACTAATTATAGACTAGTACTACAATGGGGGCATCTATTAAATAAATGAACTGGTTAATGCTTAGTCAAATAATTGCAGATTCAACTTCAGGAGCACTTCTCCCGTACTCCAGCCTGCGGGTCGAGCATTTATCCTTTACAAGATAAGGCGCGAGACGGTAGGTATAAATAATGGATTAAAGGAGAAATCGTAAGAAGCGGCATCTACAATGGCTACTCCAGTGCCTACTACAGTGCCTACGGTATCAGCTAAACAAGTATAACGACAACTTACCAACATTTACATAACAAAAAGCAATATAAGGAGATCCAGGCAGAGCGATGAGAAATGATTAGCGTTGATCAACACCAACCAGAGGAATTAGTATCGATATATATTGCAAGAGCCGGATAATGTTGATATGTTCGAACAGTTGAAAGATTTCGAACGAAGTGCTAAGAAAAGATCCATTCCGATGATCACTGACTCTGGTATTGGTGAGTACAGCAGCTAGATCAAGCGTTACAAAAACGTTACAAAAGAGTTACATTAGCGTTACAAAAGAGTTACATCAGTGTTCCAATGTGGTAAGATACAAGAGGTCCGAAACCCTCTAACACGTGGTGGTAGAATGGTTGATCTCCCGGAGAGCACAGAATACCGATTGCTTATGTCGGGACTGTAGACACCAGGCTCACCGGGAGACGGAAGTTGTAAAACTGTACTCCCGAACTTATACCGACTATATAACGTATATAACGATCCCAAATAAGGGCGATAACACATGTAAAGTTCAGCACTCTCTCTCCCTCTTCCTCTTTAGAAGTATGAAGATATATAGGTATGATGATATGATGTGTCAAGAGACCACGTCTCTCTTTCTCTCTCTCTCTCTCTCTCGTGTCCTGATACGCGTTACGGACTGTAACTATAGGACATGATGATCAGGAACGTGTACAGAGGAGTATCTACAGTCATTAGCAGATATTAGAGGTGATGAGTATTTCTGGACACTGAATCAGGTAATCAGGTACTGACAGGGAAGTACTGGAGGGTACTTGGAGCGGTGTGTGTAATCTTGGGTGGAGTTGGTGTAATTTTAATCATTATAATCATTGTAATCATTGTAATCATTGTAATCATTGTAATCATTGTAATCATTGTAATCATTGTAATAATTGTCATAATTGTAATCATTGTCATAATTATATTCATTATAATCATTGTGATCGTTGTTAATCATTGTAATAATTCTAATCATTGTCATAATAATATTCATTATAATCATTGTCATAATTATAATCATTGTAATCATGGAGGGTACAGGGAATTATAAAGTGGGTACAGTGAGGGGTACAGTGAGGGGTACAGTGAGGGGTACAGTGAGGGGTCCGGTGAGGGGTATAGTCAGGGGTACAGTGAGGGGTACAGAGAGGGGTACAGTGAAAGGTACAGTGAGGGGTACAGTGAAAGGTACAGTGAGGGGTACAGTGAGGGGAAGTACATAAAAGTTATGCAACACTAACATCTAGAAGCGATTTGGGGATGCACGACACTACTTATTAGCCATTGTGATACTAATTTGAGTACTGAGTAGTTCAACATCTGACCCGCAGAAATGTGGTTAAGGGAATAAAACAGGTTTAGAGTACACATACCTCGGTTATAACTGAGTATATGCATTATGCATATCCCATATCACAGTACACAGCTACCTGCTACATGGTACCTATTACTAGATCACAAAAGAACAAACGACGTCTGGTGAGCTATAAGTTAAACGTTTAAATAAGCTGATTATGACTGGTAAACAATACCTAGCCTTGCAAGCTTCTTTAAAATCAGTCATACTCCACGAGAAGTTAAGCCTGAAAGAAGAGTTACAATCACGTTTTGCAATCGTGAAAACTCCACGCCTGTCGAGAGACCACCATAGTTTGCGAGGAGAATAAAATACTTAAAACAGCTTAAAAACAAAAATACGTTTAACAGCAGATTTGGTACAGCGGAGACACTGCATCAGGAGGAGATAGAGGAGATGGAGGAGAGGGCGGGCTCCAGTAATTGAACTGAATTAAATACGATCGCGGTGGTGTGTGGAACACATTCTTAGCGACAAGCAGACAACCTCACTTGTCTGTGATATCTGTCTATTTGAAGAAGGGGGGATGAAGCGGTAAGTCTTCAGAGATGGTGTGATGTCATAGTGGGGTTATAAGTATCAGGAGGGGTGACGTGAGGTTTTAGAAGCTGTTTTTAGATTGATCACGTGGTATCGCAATAAACTTTCAATATGTAAGAGTTGCAAATAAAACAAACGGTCATGAAACAAAAGTTAAAACAAAGTGGCACGTGTTTGACTGTTGTCAGTCACATTTAACAATTCAGTTGAAATTAAACACAAGACTAATGGGCAAAAGTGAGGTTCAAGTTTGATTGGTGTAAATTGGAATGGTTAAAGTTTCATACATGCAGGTGACAGGGTGATTAGAAAAAAGAGAAATTGTTTGTTCAGTTAAAAACGAAGTCGCTGATCAGGTCTAATGAAGGGTTGGACTGTTATCTTTTTAAACGACCCCAACAAAGAATACAAGATATGACTGGTCTATAATTACACAGTTAAACAATAAACAATAAAAACATAATATACTAATAACAGTGGCCAATTAGCCAACATTCCTCCAAGCAATTAAAAAACCCTGAAAAGAAGACTCAAAGAGTGTGCTCTGTTTACAACCAACTCCGCCCAGCTGGAGCCAGGATCCAAACCAGATCCTGGGATCCACAAACACTGGCCACACTGCCCAGCAGCGCCCTGCGGTTAACTTCAACATGCAAATCTAAGACGAACTCCATCGAGGACCACTCACTAATTATACATGTAGTACAGGGACACTTGTTGTCGTCCAGCTAACACTACAGTAGATACTTCAGGAACGTATCATTAAAACACCTCTAATTATCAAAAGACTAATACAGGAGGCGGAGGGATACTAATACGTGTACAAGAAGAGATCAGGTCCGTCCTGAGATATACACGACCATATAACCACGCGTTAAACAAGCGGAGATGTTGTACGTTACATGCACCGAGATAGACAAAGCAAGCTATGATTATTACAAAATCACTCTTTATATTTCAATTAGCAAAGATCTTGTTTTGTATAATTGTACGGCTAAACAACAACACGTGACCGGAGGACTGTCTGGTGATTGGGTGACCTTAATTTTGGTTGTCATGGCAACGGAACACGTGGGGTGGGAGCAGTGCTGTGATTGGACGGCGCGGGATGTTCCTGAGTACACGTCTGTAATTCATGGACATGTCAAAATATTGGCAGGTTTAAAATTTAAATTACGATTAGTAACTACTAAGCCAAGATTGAGTAACCACTAAATTACCCTGAATAGGAATTAATAATTGTAACTACTAAATTAAAATCATATGAGTTGAAAATTGTAACTACTATAAATTATGCAAATAAGCATAAGCGACTACTAATTTAAAATCAGGATATGTTACATGAGCTAAATTATTAATTAAGGCTATATTTAAACTAGAGGCACATGACCACTCAGTGACATTATTCGAGCAACAGAAAAGCTTGACTAAATGACGACGACATTAGTTCGTTAACAGCACTATAAACTATAAGAGCATGACACGCACTGATAATATTTCACGACTCCAACTAAACCGAGCTGCAGTATCTTCTCATACAACTGGACGCAAAAATCCGACAATAGGGCACAGTACACACGTACTTTTACACTGTATTGTGAAAAGAAAGAGCAAAATAGAACAATCTTGACGACAGTACCACTGAAGAGTGATCCCTCAGCCAGGCACGGCGGTGTGAGTCACCACATCACGGAGGTGGAACAATAGTTTTGATATATATTGACAGGAACAATAGGTTGGTATATACTAACGGCACACTATACGCTCCGTAGCTCCAACCCACCCAACTACTCAACCCGCAAATTAAAAGAACATAATATCACCCCACACTTATTTGTTTGCCGATTAGACTTTTTAAATTTTACCCGTAACACGCGTCGCTCATTGGATGGATTCCCGGGAGGACGGTGTCGGGAAACGAGGCCTGTGATTGGTCGAGATGTCGGGAAACGAGAGCTGTGATTGGTCGAGATGTCGGCGGACTCCACCTCATTGGTCGAAGAGAGTTGACACTGAAACTGTGGCCCTGGTAGGCGGGGGACCGTAATGAAAATTCAGTTGATTGCATGAAATATAGTTTTATTTGTGTTAGGGGAGGTAAGATGACCTTATGACGAGGCTGTTCTGGGATCTTGTGAAAGATTGGAAGTCGCCCGACGTTATCGTGATCTAATATTGTTGCAACATTGCACTGCTAGCTACCACCAGTCCTTACAACGACCTCGTATCAATAACTTCAGAAACAAGAATCCCTACCGAAATGTAAAAAAAATTATTATGTTTGAAAGAATCCGGATGAATATCTGGGGTTCATGTCGTAAAATACAGCTGGAAACAGGAATCCTCAAAAAACACATTGCACGGGCTTCAAAATTTGAACAATAGACCGATTCAATGTGGAGCCGATTGAGCAAAAAAGCCGATTGAAAATCAAACGGATCACATTATAGGGCTACAATCGTGACACCGACAGTTACAAAGAGCGAAACTGATCATTATAGACGGGGAGAGCAACACAAAACGGCAGGTAAGCACGGAGAGGCTCAAAGCAGGATACTTGACAAAATAAGATCAAGGTCTGGGCAGCCGGGTCTGAGGTTTATTAAATAAACAATGATACGTGAAGTGAGGTGGAAGTATAAGAGAGTTAGGGATTTATATTTTATAGGTACAGAATGAAGGATTAGGTCAATCGCCCCGGTGTACATTACACAGCAGACACTTTTCTACACACGGATATCCCGGCAATTTCACACCTACCCACCCCTACAATACTCCCTTCTTATCTGTCAATTAACCTATTAAAATGATGAGCTAGGTGGAAAGTCTCTGAAATCTGCCCAATGTGTAACACTCAGATCAGTGAGCAGTGTTTCCTTGCCAGAGGGAGGGAGGGAGAGGGAGCTGGGTTGTATTGGAGAGGAGGGGAGGGTGCGTGACGTCATGGTAGGAAATAACCGGATCTTACGTCATTAGCAGATCCAGACAAAACAGACAAGCACCTCACTGTCCCAATCCCTACTCTGTTCCATTCAATCACATAGTTTATGAGTGATGAGTCATAATTTATGATAAGTGAGCTAGTCATTGCGTATTGTAGATAACGATTTGAAGCTATTCTTCCCCTCGCTGTGGCTTGTTGGATACCGCAGGTAGGTGCCGAAATGCACGTGTCGGCACGTTTTCTCGATGCCCGGTCTCTCTCGGCACGGGTACCGGGGGCCGAGCACTGGGGCTGCCACGGACACCTAGAAAAGAAATATTCTCACGAATCTTGCAGAAAGTTATATAGAAAGTTATGTCGAATACATTCATTAGGTTATCAAACACAGTCGCCGCTTTCTTGGGTTCAAAGTGATAGACCGTTATTACCAAATATCACGATTACCAAATATCACGAGGATATATTAGGTTGGTACTCGGTAGTGCGTTTAATGATCACACATGTATGTTGTCTCGGTGCGATGAAAAAAGTGATGAAACAAAGTCCCGGTGTGATGAAACAAAGTCCCGGTGTGATGAAACAAAGTCAGAAAACCGCACACAACAGAACCAGGATGCAATACTGCTCTGATATTGCAAATATTGACGTGGCCTGGTTTCCCTGCTCCATTGTTTCGTTTTCCAGACGCGTCATTGGTCTGAGGAGCTGTAAAATATGTATAAGTGTTGAAGTAATCCTCCCGTTTTATTTCTGACTTCGAACCTGTGCTTGTCGCAGCTTGTCACCGAGCTTTAAGGTAGTGCAGTGGCGTGTACTTGTTACTTCTTGAATGAAAACTGACGCGGTTGGATGAAGATGATTTTGACAGCATCCCATTTTACTGGAGGCTTATTTTAATGAAGCTTGACGCGTCCAATGGACAAAACTGAGCAGAGTCTAAAGTCCTCTGAAATAGCACAACAGTTAGGTTAACCAATTACCCTGCTATCCAGGCAAGTCAGCAGAGGTGTAGATCACGTGATAAGGGCATGTCACGTGATAAGGGCATGTCAGGCGACACAGAGGAAATACTTGCTGCTAAAATTAAAGAATCAAGACTTACCCCTCAGCTTGAACGAAAAAACAAGCCAGATGAAGAGAAACAAGGTTTGTTTTGGCAAGCAACTTTTTTCCGTATATACAGATTACAGGCGTAATTTGACGGAGTAACCGAGTATTGTAAAACGAGATATCAATGGCAGAAACTAATTTTATCTGAGACCATCACACGGGTAAAACTAAATATAGGCACGATAAATTGGGTATCTACAGACACATCACTACAACAGTGGGCGACAGTGGCATAATATTGGTATAAGATGTTATACACCACAATATGCAACGTCTAGGATGATCATGTCGACTGTACTCAGATTACCATGTGTAACTACTCGGCACTACCTCGGCACTCTACTCGGCACTCCCTCTAGTCAAGAAGCCAAGCGTATTATTATTATATTATGGATATTTGATAACATACATGATTTGTTAGGAGCTAAGGTTATGATCACTAAACTAACGGTCACGCGGAGTCAACAGATTCAGTGTTCGTGATGATCGTGATAGTTGTTAATAGCTGAGTTAATGCTTCATGTGATATGGCAATGTGTTACAGACATGCTCTCTTGTTACACTGTTACAGTACAAGTCAAGACTGCGCACAATACGACCTAATTTTAAGATCCTCCTTACCTAATATGGTGTGAGCTCTAAATATAGCAGAGTATGTGATGAGAGATGAGTAGCGACTCGAATCCTGAGACCGTAAGATTCTCCAGCTTCCAAGCTGATGTGATGCATCTAAGTACGTCACAAAACAATATTTCCTCGCTATGAAACATGGTTTCTTCGCTAATCCTTGGTCGCGTGACTTATGCGGTTTCACTGATATCATTAAATCTTGTATAATAAACTAACAAACGCTCACTTAGTTCCGGATCCGGAGAAAGATCCGGAGAAAGCATTCCAACTGAACGACAACTTTGAGCCATCCAGTGGAAGTAACATGGTTGTTGGGTACCTGTTAATACTGACCAGTATGCTCATCACTATTCTCACCTTCCCTCTGTCTCTCTTCTTTGTCATCAAGGTGAGTTGGAGTTTAGGGTAGTGAGTTTGAAAATGAGTTATAACCTCGGGTTAGGGTAACTGCAAGGATAAAAGTCGAAATTATTGAACCTTGTTCAAATAGGTCAACTGCGATCCAACTATGAAGTTTAAAGAAGCAGGGCGGACTGGTAGTGGTATCATTATCGGGCTGATATTTTCGAACACTCCTAATAATTAATACGCACTACACGTTTTAGTTTGATAGTTTGATAGTTTGATAGCCCATAACCTTTTAATGTAGTTTCAAAAATATAAAATAAACTACAAGAAAATTCGTCGAATAAACACGCATTTGAAATTTGAAAATGAACAGTTGAATAGCCCATATTTCAGCGTTTTTCGTCGATTGCTCCCAAATCTTGAACACAATCTGAGTCCCATACTGATACATGCAATCTGATGGTCAAACCAATTCTACGACTACCCATTTTAAATCCACGGGACAGCTTGGGCTAATGAGATACAACCAAAACTCTATATCTATTAGCACTAAGTAGTAAAAATAATCTGAACCTGGATCGTTTTATAATTTCCATTTGCACCAACTTATTGAAACATGATAGAATGCGTGACGCGGAGACGGGAGATCGATTCAAGTACCTATGTGTTGTGGAATGTGGCACCAAGCCCAGGATTCTTTTAACCTGATATCTAGCAAATTATATAATACAAACTTTAAAAATTCACCATCTTGTGCTTCTTTCAAATTATTCGGCATCGGATTTCGCACACCTAAGGCAGTTTCATCAGGCCTGATATGTAACTACGAATAACATATAAGTTTAATCATGTTTATAAGCTCTTGACTTGATCCCTACATGAAATCTTCAAACATTGTGGACATTGTGACTTTGCAGCCGAAATTCACTCTGTCAACTTGACAATAATAATAATTCAAAATATCCTAATTTATTTATTTCTACCCTGTGACAGGTAGTGCAGCAGTACGAGAAAGCAGTTATATTCCGTCTGGGGGAGATTAAGAACAAGAAGGGGGCAGGCCCGGGCTTGTTCACCTACCTGCCTTGTTTAGACGATATGAGAATCGTGGATATGAGGACTATTTCATTTGATGTAGCTCCGCAAGAGGTCACCATTTCTTTTGGATTATTCTTTAATCAGTCAGTATCAATTAACCCTAAGTCTAACTAAACGGTACATACCTTTGATCCGTAAGGCCCTATTTCACGGCCAAATATGTCGGATTATGTTTTAGTGTCTAACGGGACCAGACTGAGTCCGCCCTTCTTTTAAATAAATAACGGGTACATACCCCAGATTCTGACAAAGGACAGTGTAACGGTAACGGTGGATGCGGTAGTTTACTACAGAATCCACGATGCGATCATGAGTGTTTGCAACGTTGACGACGTACAGAAAGCAACCAAACTGCTAGCCCAGACCACGCTTCGTAACATGTTAGGTAAAGGCAGGCAATATTGAGCTGCTGTGAGAGTCATTGTTGCGACTAAGGAAAGGGAGAGACCAAGCTGAATTAACTTTTGTCTTTAGTCTCTCCAGCTTCAGTTGAGGTATTCGGCAAATTATGCTGTGTCTAAATTCAAAAAGTCAACCAATGAAGAGTGAAGGTTGGGTTCATTATGATTGTTGTATTGAGCACTTCTCTCTCCGGAGGATTGCACGGAAATTTGAAGTCTTTGTAATTCTTTTTCAATAGCTGCGGCCTAGCAACTGTGGAGTTAAATATTTAATTGTTTGCTCAACCGGAATCCACCATTATATTGTAGAATCATCAACATCGCAAAGTTCCAGATCTCATATTTAACGATTCACATATCAAGGGGAACTAGCTATTAAATTTGTAGCCTATCTTGTTTGTCTTGAAAGTTCTTATAATGTAACTTTTCTAAGTACACATTTGCTTTAAGGTATCAGAACACTAGCGGGAATACTGAGCGAGAGGGAGATGATAGCCAATGGTATTCAGAACACACTTGATGAGGCCACAGATCCGTGGGGAGTTGTCGTGGAAAGGGTTGAAGTGTGAGTCGAAACATTTTCACGTAGTTACAGTAAAAAACCCACTAAAACAAGAAACATTAATTTCCTTGTCAGTTTTTTAACATGTTATTTTTGACGGTTAATTCCTTAATTTATAAGGATTTATAAGGATTTATAACTACTGATTGCTCAAACTGTTAGACACAAAACGATCGGGCTTCTAATTCAAAAGTATCACAAAGGGCAAACAACATGACACAATAGTGAGACCCAAGTATTAGTAAACTGTTGAATCCACAATGAGATGACACAAGAAGCCCAATTAGAAATAGTCTGCTACTTGGTAAACAACACTAGCAAAAACAGCTACAGTCCATTCTGACTCAGACTAGAATGTTCACAAAAAATCGGCTATTTCGTCTCTAGCACTTGCGATGACAAAAAACTGGAATTAAAAATGAGACCCAACGGCGTTACGAGTCTCTCACAGAATAGGAAAAGTCAACATCCAGTAAAGTTGATAAATTTACAATAAAACGACTCGAGAAGCAATTAGAAATAGTCTGTTTCTTGGTAAACACTAGCCAAGGTAGGCTAAAACATGCACATTCTGACTAGTCAACTAGAACATCACGCGGGTTAAAAAAGAATTTCAATATATAATGTACTCTGGTTAATAACTGCAGAACGATTGGCCGATTGATTTTGGCAACTTCTTTGGCTGTTAAATAGTATTCAATTGAAGAAAACTTAGCAATCATTAAATTATAGACATTAACTTGGAATCAAGGAATGCTATCTAAGCTTAGTGGAATCCCGGGTTGAACAAGTAAAACATGTTGGCTTAAAATGAAAAACAATGGGCTAGTAATTAATAATTTTATGCAAATGTTTTGTTCAAAATTCTAGATGAACATGTATATTGTATATCACTAGTCGGCTTTTACTTTTGTTTTAAGTAATACACGATTAATTCAGAAAAGATGTGAAATTACCAGTTTCGCTGCAAAGAGCTATGGCTGCTGAAGCAGAGGCAGACAGAGATGCTAGAGCTAAAGTGAGTGATTAATCTCAAACTGTGTGAATTATATAATCATAATATATACAGGGTGTTCACGATACAATGTAGGTTAATTTTGAAGGAGCAATCAGCTATATTTAACGCTCGGTTTCATTGTACATTGGTAACGATGTTGTTACAACCAGTTCAGATATCAAAATGTCGACATATTTCTCGAAATTTCGAATATTGAGGTGGTACGCCATTTTTCGAAATTTTAGCTATCAAATTTCGGAATTCCTTCATTATGGCAAAAATTGTGGACAAATTTTCGTGATCTTCTCCTTGCAGCCAGAGCCCAAATCCTTTAAATAAAGAGTGAATGGAGATGACACACCCCCTCCCCAAATTTTTGTTCAACACTTTTGTCAAAACTCACCAATGCTGCCTTTATCTCCTTCACAGTCTAGTTTGTTGGTGATAAGAACAGAATTTTGGAATTATAATATTAAGGCATACATTAGATAATGTTCACGTTTGAAAGAATTCAATTAATTGACCAACGTTTTTCCGTTTAAGTACGCGAAAGAGGTCTGAATGCCACGTGGATTGAACCCCTGGCTTATATAATTGTAACAAGGTTACTTTAAGTAGACCGTTATCCTTGACATTCTGTTAGTGTTACATTTTTCACTTGAAACAATCAAAAAATATGGAAAACATTTAGAGTTCGTATCATGATAATTATAAAAAAAAGCCAATCATCGGTACCAAGTAAGAAGAAGAATGGATTACATAATTTCTCGCGCTTCATCGTGAAATAAACTTAATTCGATTTAATTGATGGCCCAGGTCAATATCATGACAAATTTCGCATATATATATATATACATGATGCATACAAATATCTGAGAAAGTTGAAGAATATTTTTACCTGCCTTTTCTACACAAAACATGAACAAATTTTACGCATGACATATCTGATGGGCGATATCATATAATAAATATCCTTGAGTTCGAAGTATTATATCAAAATAGTTAAGAATTTTTCACTAAATTTTCCCAGGACTCGCCTTTAGCGGACTTTGCCCCCCTGCATCAGGCTCTGCCCCTTTGGATCATTGTGGGGCTCAAAAATGCCCCATCGGGTGATAAAAACCACGACATATTTACCCCGATATACGTCATTTTTTAATGATATTGACCTGGGATTGATGGACTGGACACGTGATAAAACCTACGAAATTGACAAATAATAATCTTAAACCAGTTTTTATAGTCCATATTGCTTGTTAAAAGGCTCGTGCATGTCAGTCTAGTACTCTCTGGTTGAACAAGTCATTAGTGTAACATTATTTGATAGAAGGCTACTGCTGAATCATTGCATGGGAAATTCTATAAAGATTCAGAAAGTTCCGCATGTCCTGACAAATATCAGATCTTATAAAAATTTCCTCATTACCATCAAATCCGAAATTTCCTCTAAATCAGACTGCCGTGTTTCTGGATTCGGGCTTATGTCGCTGTCAGAGGAATTGTGAAAACTGATCCCTAATTAAATGAGCAGTGTTTCTGAACTTTCACTGTGTTAGCTGTTTTATGATCCCTCCAAGAGATCATAAAACCGCTAACGAGAGAGATCATCTCTCGTAATATTTACAATTAAATACATTTCTAAAATGTATTCACTAGGTGGTAGCTGCAAAGGGAGAACTGCAAGCTAGCCGAGCATTGAAAGACGCAGCTGATATTATTTCTGAGTCACCAGCAGCATTACAGCTGAGATATCTACAGACTCTTTGCACAGTTGCAGCCGAGAAAAACAGCACCATCTTGTTCCCTATTCCTGTGGATATCATGAAAAGTTTCATGAAGTAAGAAAGCTAACACTATGAACACTGATAGTTTTTATTGTATCACTCTTGAATGAATCTACTTATTTGTATTGATTAAGTGTTAATTATTTAAAGATAAAAGTGAATTTTGTTAATGAAATTCAGTCAAAAAGCGTTTTTTTCGGGAAACCATGAGTGTAGTAACCGACCAGTCTTGTGTTTAGGCTGCCAGACCCGAAACGGTTGGATATCAATCTCGTTTACAAGTCAAAATTTAAGGATACCGGAAAATGAATATTAATCCCTTTATTGTTTAAAAGTGTGGTACTATTATTTGTTTAACTTGGCAAGAACAATGTCCCGCACCTGTTCAGAGCATCTGGTATTAGACCATGAGGGCTGAGATCCGAAGCTATAATAGACCCGGCATGTAACTTAATTACCAGACATCATCTCCCGAATAAGATGTCTTGAGAACTGATTAGATGTCTTTCCGGTATGTTCCTATCTAAAGGACATGATTTACAAATATTTACAAATATTTGCATCACTATGATGAGATCGATAATCATGTAGGTTGTACTAACGAAAAAATGGGAAAAACCGTAAATTGCAAGGTATCGAAATATAACTAATAATAATGCAGTAACAGGCATGCTTACGACTTGAGCTTGTACTCACCTGGAAAATGGAGAAGTATATTATACTCATTACTCTAAATATCATGAATCATGCTATGGGAATATGAATATTAAATTGAATCAAGCATGAATGCATACAGTAATCTGATGGTCTGAACAGTCGTATTCCACAATTGTTAAGCAAAATTTTCATAATTTTAATTATAAAAACCAATGACCGATCGTGAAATCAGAGATTTGGGTTCATTTGAAAGAAGTTGGGGTCAGTTCAAATCAATTGGGGCAAGTTGATACTCATTACCACAGATACTTGCCACGCGTTTGCCACATATTTTCACTGTGCACCCAAGCCACAATATTGGCCAAATTTGCTGCACTTATGTTGCCTCTGGGCTGCAGATACGCTACTGGTCCTGCCGATATGGGGCAATCAAATGGGGTTGAAACTTAATTTTATTTCTAGACTTCAAATATACAGTTGAAGAAACATGGCAATCAGAATGTTCTTGTAAGAAAACTTTACTCTACTTTGAGAAAATTAAAAAGTTTAAACCGCACTTGACTAATCAAAATAGACGGGATCAGTAGTATACCAGTTGCCCCCTAAATTATTATAAGAGAACAATCTTTTTGCTTGTTCCTCTTCAGTCAGATTGAAATGAGCATGTCCCTACTGCAGCTTCTATGGCTACGAAAAGCTAGTCACTAGTAGGGTTGGCATCTAGATAATATCTAGATAGGATTCCTTGGTATTCACCCAAAAATTATGATCTCTTTCTAATTATTTCCAACATTTTCAAAATATATCCATCAGAAATTTTTAGCAAGGTCATAGCTACAGCATGTTTTAGACACCTACAAGACAAATAGGAGTCATTAGGTTGTGTCTTAATCAAGTTTTGCAATTAAAACTTTATCTAGATAATTTTGAAATCCTATCTACTTATCTAGATAAACAATTAAGTAGATAAACTGCCAACCCTAGTCACTAGCTTCAACCATGCTATTTTATAATGAACAACATCTTTATCAAGCAATAACAGTGTGCGTGAAGGGCTCAATGAATAATGATCTGTCCTCGCTCATCTACTATACTATACGACCTCGGCCTTTTCAGTTTACGCAGCCCACCAATGCCTACCACCTTAGTTCCAAAGCTAACCGACTAAAGCTCCATAAACTGGTTTGCATGCTGCCAGTCCATCTCAGGACGACCAGTATTCGACGCTAGTAAATCTTCGGATATTTTGATTTAAAGATATAGTAGATGGAAATGTACCATAATTCTGGTAAATTTTACTTGGACTATGGAGCCAATTTATTTAAACTTTAGAGGTGTTCTAATATAAATACCATTAAACTTTTGAATTGCTAGCAATGCTAGTAGCATATTTTGGTTAAGTGCCATCTTCAGTTGTTAATGTGTACCACACCTAAACGTACCACTGCTTATTCATCAAATACAATCTCCTATAATGTTGAACTCCTGTATAATTGTATATTTCTTATTTAAAGTCAGGTATCTCTCTTTCTATTTGACATGTTTAATTTGTTTGTAGGTTTAAACTACCGGGATTATTTTTTTATTTTATCGTTTGTTTTCATTGAAAATGAAAAAGATAACATGTGATTTTTTAAATTAGTTAACTACTATATTTTAAACTTGACGAAATCCATGAAATTTTTGAACTTTTAAAATCTAATTTGAGAATGAAATTTAAAGACATTTTTAATTAGCACTGTATAGTTTATATATTAAGATATTTATAGCTTATTATAGTAACAAGAGAGCCTCATCTATCACCAATAACTCTCGGATTCCTTCCCCTGCGGACAAAAAGGCAAAGTCCCGAATCAAGAACAACACTCCAGGACCAGAGGCGAAGGGAAAGGATGTATCTTGTGAAACTATTGTTGTAGACAGTGATGTAACACCCCCAAAGTTTGACAGTTCACACAGGGACAAGACGAAATGTCCATGTAGTAAGTCAATATCGTCATGGAAGATTGACTGTGTAAAGTGCAAGCAATATTGGCACATAGACTGTCTAACTATGAATGGACTCAACCAGAAAAATGTCAACAGCATGACCAATTGGCACTGCCCTTTTTGTTTGGTTTCACCAATCCCCACATTCGAAACTGCTGAAGATGTGTGTTATGTGTGTAGGAACACTCTGACACTTCAAAAATCTAACAGTCAGTGTGAGACAGCTATTGCCACAGAGAAGCTTAATACCATCACAGCTTTTGGTGAAAAGCTTGCAAAGGTTGACTTTGACAGTCTAAACGACAGCATTGCTGCCATCCAGAACCTTGACCTCCATATCAAGCACCTACTGGTAAGTGACAAGGGCACTGCTCCAGCATGGGTTGAAGTGATGGAAGGAGATCTAAAGCAGCTGAAAACTTCAGTTGACTCTTCACTCGGAAAGGTTTCTGAGTCTGATAGTGGCCTAACAGAACAGATTAAAGTGTTGAACAAGCAACTGCAGGACTTTTCTACTCCTCAAGTAAGTGCTCAATCTTCCTCCAAGACCAACGATCTCATGGAAAAAATAGAGAAGAATCTCCAGGAGCTAAATTCCAAGCAGTCTCTGGAGACGAATCAGGAGCTAACAGCCATTAGACAGTCTTTGAACACTCTTGAGCGAAATTCTTTGGCTTCTTCTGACCATTTAAACGTCCAAATTACCAGTTCTTCACTTGCCTCTGGCCCAGACCTAATAGCTAATGAGCATCTCCAATCAAAAGAAGAACCAGTTGTAGGCGCTATAGAAGAGTTTATTACCACAGAAGAGCAGGAAACTCTCCTCCTTGCCTGCCAATCACTTGACGAGGATTTTGTTGTGGAGGGAGCTCGTGCTGTGTATTCTTTGGGAGAACCATACAAGTATAATGGCTCCAAGTCATCCAATGGCCAACTAGCTTCAACTAGCTTCTCCAATCTAGTGGACAAAATCAATGGTGCATTCTGTAGTGGTGAAAAACCGAAGATCAATAGCCTGCTGATCAATCGCTTCAAAGAGGATGGCTCCCTACCGAAACACTCGGATGATGAAACTACCATCCACCCTGAATCCGAAATTTTCACTGTTTCTATTGGAGGCCAGTGCAACATCAAATTCTTTGATAAGAAGACGGATCATATGGCTCATGACCATACATGTGTGCCAAGATCCATGTATCGCATGACTCGACGCAGCCAAGAGTTCTACAGCCACTGTATCGAGGATGGGGCAATAACTGGTGGGGTGAGATACAGCCTAACTTTTCGTTCAGTTAGCTTTAGAAACAGGAACTCTACATGTATCATCGGAGACTCGCATACTGGTGGTCTCAAATTCGGACTGGACCCCAAAAAATCATTTGGGCAGTGGCTCCCCGGAAAACAGTATTTTGCTCCGGTAGTGGGGGATATAAATCCTACAGTTTCATGTGGATACAGGAATGTTCTCTTGATGTGTGGTATAAATGATATCAGGAAACCTGAGATCAAAAATACCGCTGATATAAAGAACAATGTTTTTAAACCATTTGTTCAGAAAGTAGAAATGATCCAAGCGCTTAACCCCAAAGCAAATATATTTGTGTGTCCGCTGCTGCCAACCAAACTCGTTGAGCTAAATCGTAAAGTTGCACATTATAATGAATTAATTTTTAAGGAGCTGCTCCATTCCAACTTTGGTGTGACTTTGGTACCTGGTTTTGACATGTTCTGTGATGAGGCTGGGCTCCTAAGCCAGCAATTCTCTAGGAACATTGGACGAAACCAGAGACCGGACTATTTACACCTCAATTGGAGTGGTACAGCAAAACTTGGGGTTCTTATACGTAATACAATACTTTTAAGGATGAATGGAGGGACTGATAGAAGGAAGAAGAGATCGGATAAAGTTGACAATCGCTTATACTCCCAGACGATGGGTGGTTCCTCTCCTGCTGCTGCTGCGACTCAACATGGGGAAGGTTACGTACCGTACCCATGAATAAATTGACCAAAGAGGTATGCCCTGTCTGTACAAAATTCATTTCCATTGGCCAATTCATTGCTGAATGTTGTAGGTGTGACTGTGCTATGCACCATAAATGCTATACTAAATCCAGTACAAACAAAATATATGAAGATTTTTACTGCCCTAACTGTGTACACTTAGCAAGTACTCGTTACAATCCGTTTATATATGAAGATACTGACTCTGAAAATAATAGTACTGACATTGATGAAACACTTGTAAACATCAACCGATTACTCAATAACTGTAACCCATATAGTGTTAAAGAATTTAATAAAACATTTTGCAACCAAATGAACGAGTACTCATCATTATTATTTCAAAATATCGATGGTAATAAATCTAACTTTGATACTCTGGCAATAGAACTACAGAGATATATGAAA